GCTTTGCAGTGTTGATGGTGACGTTACACACATTACCTCTGCAATCGTAGGAAACTGAAAAAAGCCGGGCATGGCGGGGAATGAGACTTTATATTAAAGCGGGGGTAAAAAGAAAACAGAAGTAAGTGAATATAATAAAAGCTGTCAGTGAAATGATTTACTGAGCCCTTATCAGATTAATAATCCAAAGCGAATCACAGTATTGAAGAATAGCAGCAATGATATCACTTAACTACACTGTGCCTGTAGCAAGGAAGCCAGTGTTCATGCGCTAATGACACGTGTGTGTGTTTGTGTCTATAAAATCACTGCTTTATAATCTTTTAACTACCAGACAATCACAGATTTGTCTGTGATAAAATCCCAATCCTCACACATATGTCTATGCTTATACCAGGCAAGTCATGTGTGTGTGTATGTGTGTGTCTATGTGTACTCATGTGGGGCATGCCTGTCCGTGTCTGTGCGTGTGTGTGTAGCAGATTTAGCTTTGATAAAACCCCAGTCTTTAGAGGGATTATCAGCCCATTCCCAGACAGCAACACGCTCTGCATTTATGGAGGTAATAAGTTGATCCATAATAGACAGACCACCAGACAGCTAAAGGCTGTTATTGGAAATTGTGTCCCCCATATCTATACCTGGGCATAGATGAAAGAGGGTTGGAAAGCAATATCTTCAGAGACAGTCAGACCTGCTGTGCAACACCTCGTGCGAGCTATCATCCGGTGAATTTTGATTTGGCGCTTACCTTTATGTATTGACTGACTCGTCATGCTACTGTTTGTGGTGTGGTTTTGCCTCTACTGAAATCCCAGAGTGCAAACGTACAGCGGCTGCCAAGTGTAAGCACACAACGTGGCACGACACAAGACACCAGCACGCAGACTCAAAAATAATTTTGCTAAATGTTAGTACTCTTTTATTTAATGTTTCAGAGATCTTAAATTGCCATTTGAATCAAAGCTATTTTCACTGAAACCAATCCGGGTGTATTTTAGTGAGATTTCACTCACTTTAATGTTATCTGACACCCATTTGTCGTTGCGTGACTTGAGCGTTTAAAAGTAGGGCAAAACCGGTGAAAAGGTCGCACGTTTGTGGATGCAGGCTGTTGTTTCCTGGTCAGAGCAATAAAACTTTCTCTGCCATTATTATTTCCCAAAACAAACCCTCTGTTGATGCTGAGCTCATAGCTTAACTTATGGCTGCTTCTCTCACCACAGGCATGGTGACAGAATTACTATAAACTGAAGAAAGGCTGGTATAAAGAGCACAATGATGCTTGCTATCTGCATTATCCTTGTCTTTTTTATCTCTCTTTCTAACTCTTTTTTCCCCTCTCAGTCTGGATCTCTATTTCCTTTTTTCCCCTCCTGTCTTCTCTGCCCATCATTTACCCCCATGTCTGTTCTTTCTGCTTCATCTCCCTATGTTTCCTCTCTATCTCTCCCTACGCTCCCTTCAAATGCTCTGCCTTGTGCGCAGTCATAAAGAAATAATTTATTCCTGTCCCCCAGTGCTGGTATGTATTAGCATGCCAGCAGAGCACGTTAACTTATCTCTCGGCTACAGGCGCTGAGTGGTAAAACTAAGCTCTGATAGTTTGCAACAGGATGACCACAGAATGCCTGTAGCTCGGAGAATTAGGGCTGTCGTCATGATTAGTAATGGTGGGCCTGTTTTACTGCACTGTAATTCACTGAACTGTACCAACTGCATGACTCAATGATATGCAAAAATGGACTATCAGCCCAAAATCGGCTGGTGGAGAAAATGAAAAGATTATTAACTGCTGCTGTTTTTGACAACCGGCCCATCTCAACCAATTCTGTTCTTTTGTTAAGGCGCGCAGAACATAACACATACAAAATCTGTTTGAGCGGCTGTTGCGCTCTGAAGGTCCAACTCAAAATTTGTTTGGCCATCTGTCAGCGCTAGTATCAGAGCATCAGACAGTACATATGAGACTGTAAAAATAGCATGAATTAGATAAAGCGCAGTGTTAACATACACAGTTAAGGGTCGACGGTGTGTAGGCATCACATGCTGCATAAACAGATTGGGCCTTAAGTGGCATTTGTTGTCATTTTGTTGCTTAATAAACCAGAAAACACCACCAGCGTACACATAAATTTATTATAGGGATTTTATGTGAGCCACTATCAGCTGCATTTCCCATAACCTCCATACAGCGAGCGGTAAAAAATAAACCTGATAGCTTTCAAGAGGCCCAACCACACAATGTCTAGGAGAATTAGGCTCATTGTAGTGATTAGTTACTCTGGGCCTAATGTTGTATTCTAATTTAATGCACTTTGCATAGCATGAGTCGGGTTTACAGACATGCTGTGCACTATAAATGGATAGAAACAATGTAGATGTAAGAATGCTGGCATCTCCGGGATGAGAATCTAAGGTAATACATTGCTCCAACTCTGCAGTACAAAGCGTGGCTCTTATTAGACTTCACTTCCAGGCAGAGAATGAGCTGCATTTTAGTGTAACAACAAACAAGGATGGATAAGCGATTATAGTGACACAGATCTAGTTGTGCATATGGCACATAGAAAAAGAGGGTGTTAAACCATTCCCCACTTTAATGAGCAGCTTAGATGGATATTGAGACTTCAGAACTGAGAGATGGCACAGATTGCTGCGTTAATGTCATCCTGTGTAACTCAGTGGATTAGGTTTAGATTTGCAGCTCCCACTAGGGCGACCGCATACAAGAATGTATCCTCTCATAAAGAGTCCACTGAATGGCAAATGCTAAGAAAACTGCCCCGCACTTGATAACAGCATTACTGATAAGCAATGTAATTAAGATGCACAGAGTGGAGCATGCTGTATTGTGGGAAAAAGCACCCCAGTGCAATCTCTATTAAGAGCCAAGTGCCGGGCATGTCATAATGATTATTTATTATAACCCTGATGTGTCTGTTTTACTCACTATTTCATTATCTGAGTACTGGATGCAACTGCACAACTCAAATTCACTATGTCACATGTAAGAGCTACAGAGTTATGAGTGCAGCTTAATATGCACTTCCTGTTCATTTATATGTTACATTGCAAAGCTGATATGATTTGTGTTAAATAAAGCTTCCATATCTCAGAGTCCAATTTGCCATGCTCCCTCTTCCTCCCTCCCTCTATGTCTGTCTGTGTGTGTTTGTGACTCATCACCACCCATATTGTGCCACTGACCTATATCTGCCCTACCTGTGTGTCACACTATCGACTGACCTTGATTCCAACTGATCTACTCACTTCCAGACAGTGACGTGAGTCTTTAGCACAACACCAGCAGGAAGCAAGTAAAATATTTCTCTTCCAGTCAATTCCACTGGTTACAAGAAGAAAAAAGTGAGTAATGTGATTAAAGCCGACAAAAGCATTGTCAGGGACCCGCATGTCTTTTAGTAACTAATTTGAAATTTCGAACTGATTTAAGGGATATTATCGAGGTAATCTTCTCCAATGATTCTTTGCATTTTAGCCTTACTTTCAATAATTTAGTATACATTAACGATGTTATTTGGCTGGATTTTATTCTTCTTTATAATCTTATTTAATAGTATCTCAGAGGCTTTTGGCAAATCATTTTTAAAATGTTATCTGATTGCTCTTTGCATGTTTAAAATGATAAACAACTCATTTCTGAGCAGACACGGTAGATTAACATCAGAACACATAGCCAAGAGCCACATCCCTGTATCTCTGCCTCTCTCTCTCCCGTTCTCTGCTGCAGAGTAATGCATGGTGAAAATGTGATGCTGCAGGACCATGTGGGCTACCATGCACAAAGCGACTGGAAGGTGGAGCTTGGATGCTTACAAGTTCCACTGTACGCTCTCATTGGCTCTCAATGACATCATTGATAAGGGGCTGCAAAGAGAGAGAAAGGAGTGACTCTCCTCTCTCCCTCACACTCCTGTATAGTAGAATGCAAATGCAGGTTAAGAAGGCCAGTTGAATAGCTTGTGACTCTTTTCTGACTCTAAGAGATTCGTCTGAATTAGTTGCTGCTAAAGCATTAGGCGAAATACAAAACTGCCTTCTCCATCGTAGGATGGTCTCGCTCTCGCCTGACCCTCGAATGAACTGAGCATTTGAAGAAAGATTTCTCTTTCTACAGAACATTTCGCAACTGATGAATGCTGTGGATCACAGTGCGTGCAAATTATGCGACTGTCACGCAATCGTAAGTGAAACTAACTATCAGTGTTAAAACTGATCAGACCGTGGACACTCAAATTTGGCCCAAAAGCGTTCTTGGGCTTTATAAAAGATAACTGAAGTCAAATCAGATGAAACATGCACTCCGACTATGACACAATGATGCTGCTGTGCTATGCCGAGACCATGCACAGATAAAACTAAACTAAAATATAAACATGTCATGAGGTAGGGACTCTACTACTACTGAACTGTACAAACTGCACATCATCAGATGAACTTTTAGCTCATTATTTTACAATACAGACTAGTGGTCATGTGCAACAAACTTGGACTAAACGTCCAGCTTCATTAAGGTGCTTTGGGCATTTCATGGTTATTCACTGTTATTAAAAAAAATGTCCCCGTGCATAACAAGTGTGGAATACAAAAAGACATTGCAAGAATTGCAAGTTTACAGTATTGGTAGTCATCATTGTTTAACCATGCCAAAATTATCTTAGTTTCTCAGGGGCAATGACTAATGACTGGCATGATAAGACAAGCTGGTTGCCTCAAAATAATCTTTTATCAACTGTATATTGATTTTAGCTTTAAGCCTAAATAATATATGGCATTACAAATAAACTCAGATTACAGTACTGGGGCAACACAACGCCTTACAAAATACAGCTGATGACAAATGTAGCTGGAAAATAGTGTGTGTGTGTTTGTGTGTCCCTGCGTGTGCTAGGGATTTCACACATGTACCAGCCCTGCAAACAAGTGGTTGAACAAGTGCCACATACCATCTCCCACTAAAGAGTAATATTACCTACCCATTCTGGGGGCTGAGAAGGATCAGGAAAGCAATATCCTGCTATCCCAAGGACTTTGGCCCAGGACGCGTCTTGTATTGTGGCATTCTACATGCACATCTTTTATAATCCTCAAAGTATCTCCATGAGGTTTAGATTTCCAAGTGTGCCTAAAACACAATCCGACTGGCGCTGCTGCTGCTGAAGTCTAAATCCTCATGAGATAAGTCTTCATGTTCATCCAGAAGAAAAGTGAACAGTCTCTTAATCCTTCATTTCATCTTAAAAATGGCTTGATAGGTGAATCTGTACATCTTCCGTGTGTTTTTTTTTTCTACACATCTTTTTTATTTTCTTAATCCATCAGAAGCAAGCACTGTACTGGTTAAATTGCTTAAATTCCCACCTAAGGACAGTGCCCAGACAAATAAAAAGAAAAAAGGTTAAAGGCATTGCAGTCAGTCAAAGCTACAGCACATTTTTCTCATTCAAATGGAATCCCAGTCTAAATCATATTAAACTGGTACTTTAGGAGTGAATAAGCAGCGTAAAAGTGTGTGAATGAACTGTATGAGTCAAATTTGTTTTTAGAAACTTTTAAATATATATATTTCTTTATATAGAATAACAAACTGATTTGGTTTCAAACCACATGTAAATCCTGTAGGTGTGAATTCTCCCCTTTGCTGAATAATGCAAAGTTTAAGGGTAGAGCTACTCCACTGTGGAATGCTTCAAATCCACACAAGTTGTTTGGCCACACCTTCACAACATAAAGAAAGTTTGTTTGTTTTTAAATCGTGTCCACTTTATTTTTTAAATAACGAGGAAAAATAATAATAAAAATTAAGGTGGAACTTAACAATAAAACTCAATAAACAATAAAAAGTATTTACATTGACATTTCCCGGGTATTTGCTTCTTTAAAAGAAAACAAGGCAAATAAAAGCTATTCAAACACTTTGAAATACTAGAATTAAACAACATAATTAAAAAATATATATCACATAAATTTAACTTTGCAAGTTTGAAAAAGAAAAGAAAAAGTTGTTTCCTGGTGGATCTGCGCTCCTTTCTGCTAGCTTTCTTTGTATGGACTGAGAACAAAGGAGCCTTTACAGTAGCCTAACAAAGAAGCTGCAGCGACTAATACCTGTTGATCTATTTCCAAATAAACTCTAACAAGTTTCTTAAAGATTTTCAAGACGAGCTCGCTTTAGATTCACGTCATTGCATCTTTTCTGTTGCCTATAAACATAATTTCTCATTAGTGCGAAAGAAAAGTTTAATTCTGTGTTACCGTTTCTTGTTTCTTGGAGACTTTACACCTGATTGCACTGCGCGGAATTCCCATAGTGCAGAAAGACAACTTCGCAAGAACGTAAACACAACAGTCATAAAACTACTGCACTAAAAAGGAAAGAAGAAGTATTTACAAACTATCCATCAGCCAACTGTGATTTTTCTCGCGTGCGTAAAAAGGTCCTTTCCTCCGCAAACTTCTGACAGGCTTTGTCTTGTGTCGCAACATCCTCGAGAGACAAAAAAATACAGCAACCCCACAAACTCTGCCTCAACTCCATGAAAGCTCCCTGACAATTGCTTCTAAGTAGCACAAGTTGAGTGTTAATGAGCGTTATGGAGATGCGTGTGTGAGCATCCCCCTCAAGTTCTCTCCTCAAAGCGACCCGCATCAGACAAAGGAACAGGGGACCGCTCCTCTCGCTCCCTCTCTCTCTCTTCTTCCTTGCTGCCTCGATTTCTCTAGCTCTCTCTCCCTCTCCCTCCTGCTTTGTGCTCAAGTTTGAGCGCTGACGCACCAACTACAGCCGCAACTTTTAACTGGGAATAAATTCCAAAAAATCGCTCGAGGCTTGAAAGCAAAGACAGTGTGCCGCTTGGAGACAACTCACCTGGGCAGTCGGCTTCCTGTGCGCGCGCTGCTGTCGGTTGTAGGAAAAAAAAAAAGTTTGAGAGGGCACATCTAGCTTTGTGTTGTGGAGTCCCCCTTTGTCTACACGTGTGATAGATGGATGGGGCTCTTTTTTGGCCGCGCCTAGTTCATTTCGCTCTCCAAAGAGTCCCGCCCTCTCAAAGTCAAACAACTATGCACAAAACAATGTACACTGTGGATCCGTGCGAGTGATAAAGATCACGGTGTTGGGTTCTATCATTATACTTATTATTACTATTTTACTTTATTTAAACACACTAACTCCCAAAAAGTTTTTGTTTTTTTTTACAAAGCAGCTAATTATGTCTGTCTGTGTCGTGGGATATCTATTTATTCTTTTTACCCAAATTTTTTTCTTCTTGCGTTTGTTTATTCATTAAAGCCTCTTTGTGGCACTGGCTTGCAAGGTGCTCTTCACTGAGCATTCTCTCTCTCTCTCTCTCTCTTTCTCTCTCTCTCTCTCTTTCGTCCAAGTCGCAACCAAAAGAAACCCTCATAAAACTGTCACACTAGAAAATCTTTGCTTCCGAAATACTTTTTTCCTCCATTCTTCTTGTCTTTTGGCTGGCTGACAAAAACTTTCCTGTATCCTCCGCGTGGAGACAACCATTGTGTCTGGATAGCAGTAGCAGGGGAACAAAGAAAGAGACCAAAAAAAGGGGGGAAATGATTTTTATTTTTATTTTTTTTAATAAAGAATGAAGTGGTGTGTGTATATCAGTAGCTCTAGACTTGTAATGACGGGGATCCGCTGTACTACTGCTACGTCAAATCTTATGCAAAAGCTTTATTTTGAGTTTGGAGAACAGTAACAGTGATACACCAAAACATGCGTAAATAGAATATTTAGACATCTTTGCACCCTGTAAATACATAAATCTTTATTCATTTATTTAATTAATTAATTTGATTAAGTTCATTTACATGAGCAAACTTTCTAGTTTTTATAACTTAACTTGAAATTTTACTTACTTACCACTACCTTAACATCAGTTACTCTTTGTTGTATAACTCCTTCCAATAGGAAATGTAAATCTGTATGGATGTCGTGAGAAATAAAAAAATAAGTTAAAGGAGTTTCAGAGTTTCAGGCTTTTTTTTCATTAGGAAAGCTGCTTTTGGTACTGCAGTCGGTGAGGGTGGTGCTGGTAATATTACATGTGGGTGTGCTGGAAGGAGGGGGAAGAGGGAGATGAGCAGGGGCAGGGAAGAAGTCATAATCACGTCTCCCTTCTCCCAGTTATGTGCAGCTCTTTGTCCCGGCTGTAACGTTTGTAACGGCTGTAAAGGAGCACGCAGGACAACAGGAAACATGCAAATGCAAATACATGCAGTGACAGTGATTAACCACACTGCTGTTCACAGGCAGAAGAAAAAGCCTCTGTGGCTCTGCCTATTGGACCTGACCTGGGTCCTGAAAAAGCAGCGTACTAGTCAATACTGCTTTTGTGTGCGGCATTCTTTGTGTACACCGGTTTCCACAAGTGTGTGAGTGAATGCATTTTGGGAACATCTAGACACAGCCAGTTAGGTAAAAACTTAAAAACTAAAGATAGCCGACAACACCACTACTGTGTCCTTCATTTATATGCCATACAAATACAAATAAATAATAAAAGGAAGGAGCTACTCCTCACGGAAATCTGTGTATTAACAGC